GTTAGATTGTTTAAGGTATGTTTGAACGTGAACACTACCCACGGTAATAAAAAATGAAAACAGTTTTTTGTCTAAAAATAAATCGCATTTTAAATTTTGACGATGATTAATAGTGATTATACGTATTATTGTCGATTTTGTCGGATTTCGAGCGCCAAGTTTGCTTCTTCAAGTCTGTAATAAAATATAAAAATAAAATCAATACAACTCAGGAATTAGTTAATCAAATTTAACAGGGCCTGCATGGATTGATGTTACAGGATTAAAATAAGGACCAACGTCAGGTGTATCGGGAAAATTAAGTAGATTTGGGTGATCTTTTCAATACAGTTTCCGAAGGACAACGCTGACTATTTGTCATCATGAAATCTAATCTAGTACGAATAGAAATAATAAATTGTGAAATTATGAATGAGGTAGCAAGAAATTTACACTTAATTAAAGAATAAAAAATGTAATCTTGGCTCATTTCTGTAGTTTTCTACGAAAATATCTTAAACTGATATAAAATTTCATTACAAGAAACGTTAATGATTTATCAATAAAAAAACATTAAGTAGGTACTAAAATAGAAATAAACTAAAACTGTAAGAAAACTTCTATAGAACAATAGTTTAACACATCAAAAAAAACAATTTGGTATAAATAACAATAGTTAAAAGTTATAAAGAAACAATAATAAATCAGTAATTGAGAAAAGCAAGCGAAATATTTCTTTTCGGATTATATCAACGCTTAATTTGTACTAGACTTTGGTGGAGTTTGTACGAAGTTCTTATTTAAAAAAAATGGACCAAAATGAATTTCGAAAAAGGACAAAGGAAATGGTGGAATACATTTGCAATTATCTGAAACATATCGAGTCGAGAAGGGTAACACCAACGGTGGAGCCGGGTTATTTAAAAAAATTAATATGCAACGAAGCACCGGAAAATCCCGAAGATTGGGATGTTATTATGTGTGATGTCGAATCAAAAATAATGCCAGGTATTACCCATTGGCAACATCCTCGTTTTCACGCATACTTTCCATCAGGAAATGCATTTCCGTCTATTATTGCTGACATGTTGTCCGATGCCATTGCTTGTATGGGATTTACCTGGGTAAATAAATCGCTTTTTAAGCTGTATACATTTGTTTTTAGAAATTTGTTGCTAAGTTTTTTTTGCTACCTTACTAATTTTTTATGTGTATGTATTTCTTTTAGGCCGCAAGTCCTGCCTGTACCGAACTGGAAAAAATTGTCCTTGACTGGTTTGGTAAGATTTACAAAAAGAAAGAGCTTCAATACATTTTAATAAGTTTATGCTCATTTTTGGAACGCTTTAATTTTAGGAAAGGCAATAGGTTTACCGGACGAATTTTTAACATTGAGTGAAGACAGTAAGGGTGGAGGTGTTATGCAGGTAAACCATGAAAAGAAAGCAAGGTTTTGATTGTAAAAATTAAGTTGTCTCTTATTTAAGGGTTCCGCCAGTGATTGTGTATTCGTATGTATGTTAGCAGCAAGGACCCATGCTATAAAACGCTTGAAACAGCGGCACCCCCTTGTAGAAGAGGGGACACTACTGTCCAAATTGATGGCTTACTGTTCAACAGAAGCTCACTCTTGTGTTGAAAAAGCTGCAATGTTATGTTTTGTAAAACTGAGAATTTTGGAGCCCGATGAAAAATCGTCGCTTAGGGGACAAACTTTGCAAATGGTACGCTAGAAATGTTTTGGGTTAGAGATTTTTATCAGTTTTCAATGTTTTCACTGTGCTTAAGGCAATGGAAGAAGACAAAACAATGGGTTTGGTACCTTTTTTCGTTTCAACCACTCTTGGAACAACATCTTGTTGTTCGTTCGATAATCTTTCTGAAATAGGACCCGTTTGCAAAAAATTCCCCTCAGTGTGGCTCCATGTCGATGCGGCTTACGCAGGAAATTCATTTATCTGCCCAGAACTCAGGCGTTTTCTTAAAGGTACCTACTGGTCAATCTTTCTAAGTACAGATTCTTTTTCTATTTCCTAACTTTATTGTCATCTAGGAGTCGAATATGCCGATTCTTTTAATACAAACCCCAACAAGTGGTTGACGGTAGCTTTTGATTGTTCTACCATGTGGGTTAAAGACAGAAATCGACTTACTTCGGCCTTCATAGTCGACCCTTTGTATTTACAACACGGTTACAGTGATGCTGCAATCGATCATCGACACTGGGGGATTCCCCTCAGTAGACGATTTCGCTCATTGAAACTTTGGTTCGTTATGAGATGCTGTGGTTTATCTGGTCTGAGAAATTACATTCGACACCATATTCGCTTGGCCAAAAAGTTCGAACATATGGTTAAGCACGATAAGCGGTTCGAAATTTGTAATGATGTTAAGGTAAGAGAAATAAAGACTGCGTTTTTCCTTTTCTCCTTTTTTTGGTAGGCAAATCCGAAAAATCAAACAAGAGTGAATAATTTTCAGACAAATGAAGGGCGACTTTTCATTATTGTAATAATAATAATGTAATTTATATTAAGTCATTACGTTTTCGCAATTTTTAAAAATAGATTTAGATTTTAAATACTTGTATTGTATTACAAAGATTTACATGTGTACGAATTGTTTATTTTATTTCAGCTCGGTCTGGTGTGCTTTCGCCTGAAAGGCAATGATAAGTTGAATGAAAAACTTCTTAGCAATATAAACGCTTCGGGAAAACTTCATATGGTCCCAGCGT